CAAACCCACCCTAGCCCCTTTCCCAGGCCCCAAGCTCAGAGGAGGCAGAGCCTTCATTCTAACCTACAGCATCCCCTCCTTAACCCTCATCTGCCTGCTCCTTCTAAGCTTGGGCCTCATTTTTGGAGACCCTACCAGCCCCTACACCCACAACCCCCTGTGCTTACACAAATCAATCTCCCCACGTCCCAACCACTGTCACCCCCAACTTAGGCCAGTGCATCCCACAGCTGTTCCAGCACCCACAAACAGTCCAGTGTCCCCTACCTCCTAATCCCATAACATCTTGGGCCCTCCAGACACCCCCTGCTCCAGCCTGGCGCTTTGTCAATCCCCTCGTCAAGAACCCAACAACCCATGCCTGTCTTTTGCCATGAGTCTGGGGCCCCTGACCCCCACACCTCTTGGGTGCCACCCAGGCCTGTCTCTGTGGGCAGCTCCCTCACCAGCTCCCTTCCATCCCCCATAGGCCCTATCCAGCGTTTCTCCCACCCAGGCACACACCATCTGGCATTCCTGACCCCCATGGTTCCTGGCTTATGGCCTGGCCACCTTGTCTTGCTCATTTGCCATAGCCCCTGCCTCCCCTAGCAGGACAGGCCCAGGTCTGGGCAAGGACAGGTCAGCACCAGGGCTGGTATCCTGTCCCAAGGACACAAGCCTCCTGCTTAGGACCCTTTCTGAGGTCCTGTGCCTCCCCTTCTACTCGCCCAGCTGCCAAGTCCCCACCTTTTAATACTATCACATTGAGGCTGGGGGTGGTGGCTCAAGCCTATAATCCCAGCACTTTGGGAGGCTGAGGTGGGTGGATTGCCTGGGCTCAGGAATTCAAGACCAGCCTGGGCTACATGGTGAGAACCTGTCACTACTAAAAATACAAAAAATAGTTAGCTGGGTATGGTAGTGCTTGCCTGTAATCCCAGCTACAGGGGAGGCTGAAGCAGGAGAATCACTTGGAACCCAGAGGGCAGAGATTCAGTGAGCCGGGATCACACCACTGCACTCCAGCCTGGAAAACTGAGCAGAACTCTACCTCCCATAAAAATAAAAATAAAAAAGTACTATCACATTGGGTATTAGGTTTGTTAAATAAAAATTATTGCTATGGAAGATACTCTGAGAAGAGAATGAAAAATAAAATTACAGGAGACCATTGTTTTGCTCTTTTTTTTTTTTTGAGACAGAGTCTTGCACTGTCACCCAGGCTGTAGTGCAGTGGCACGATCTCGGCTCACTGCAATCTCTGCCTCCAGGGTTCACGCAATTCCCCTGCCTCAGCCTCCCAAGTATCTGGGACTACAGGCTTGTGCCACCATGCCCACCTAATTTCTTTGTATTTTTAGTAGAGACCGTGTTTCACCATGTTGGCCAGGATGGTCTCCATCTCCTGACCTCGTGATCCGCCCACCTCAGCCTCCCAAAGCGCTGGGATTACAGGCACGAGCCACCACGCCCAGCTTTCTTTTTCATTTTTGAGATAGAGCCTTGCTCTGTCCCCCAGTCTGGAGTGCAGCAGCGCAATCTCGGCTCACTGCAACCTCTGTTTCCCAGCTTCAAGCAATTCTTGTACCTCTGACTCTCTAATAGCTGGGATTACAGGCACATGCCACCATGCCCAGCGAAGGCCATTGTTTTGGACTAGGCTCTAGCACTGAGCCCCAACAGACAAGACTAAAAACCAAAATGGAGTCACCCATGCTAAAATTCCACCCAACCTAAACTGAGGTGTTATCTGGCCTTCTGAGAAATCAGGAGAGAAATAAGAGCCAACTTCCCAAACATGCCAGTTTTCATCTTCAATTATCATGACCAATGAGGTTCCTGCAGTTTTCATCCTTACACAAAAGAATCAGACAGTTGGGTGTGGTGGCTCAGGCATGTAATCCTGGCACTTTGGGAGGCCAAGGAGGGTGGATCACTTGAGGCTAGGAGTTGGAGACCAGCCTGCCCAACGTGGTGAAACCCTATCTCTACGAAAAATTAAAAAAAAAAAATTAGCTGGGCATGGTGTTGGGTGCCTGTAATCCCAGCTACTCTGGAGGCAGAGACAGGAGAATCACTTGAACCAGAAGGCCGTGGTTGCAGTGAGCCGATGATTCTTGGGCATTTTTTCTCTGCATTAGCTTTTCAGGGTGTCAAGGAAACTGCTGATTGAGCCTACGGACAGGAGTATTTGCATACTTGTTTGGAGATTTATAAAAAATAGATTTTTTGGCCGGGCGTAGTGGCTCACACCTGTAATCCAAGCACTTTGGAGGCCAAGGCGGGTGGATTACCTGAGGTCGGGAGTTCAAGACCAGCCTGACCAACATGGTGAAACCCCGTCTTTAAAAAATAAAAAAAATAAAAATAAAAAATTTTTAAATAAAAATATAGACTGGCGATCCTTTTGCCTTTTTGAGATGGAGTTTCACTCTTGTTGCCTAGGCTGGAGTGCAATGGTGCAATCTCAGCTCACTGCACCTCCGCCTCCCAGGTTCAAGTGATTATCCTGCCTCAGCCTTCCAAAGTGCTGGGATTACAGGTGTGAGCCACAGAGCCCAGCCTAAAATAGGATATATTTTGACACAGACTTTCTTGCTCTCCCCCATCCTTTTTGGCAACATCCACTTTTCTTTCTTTCTTCCTTTTTTTTTTTTTTTTTGAGACAGAGTCTTCCTCCGTCTCCCAAGCTGGAGTGCAGTGGCACCATCTTGGCTCACTGCCACCTCTGCCTCCTCCTGGCGATCCTCGTGCCTTAGCCTCCCCATAGCTGGGTCTACAGTTGTGGGTCACCACATCTGGCTAATTTTTGCATTTTTAGTAGAGATAGGGTTTTGCCACATTGGCCAGGCTGGTCTGGAACTCCTGGCCTCAAGTGATCTGACCACCTTGGCCTCCCAAGGTGCCAGGATTACAGGAATGAGCCACCGCACCTGGCCCATCCTCTTGTTTTTGCTCTATTTCAATACTTATTACTATTCTAATTATCAGTAAAACTTCTGCTAGGAAGACAAGTGGGTTTACCTTACCTCCCCTGACTTGTTTCCACAGGGTCTCCCATTCCCAGTTGATTTTGAGGATTGAAGATAAACTGAGGGAGAATTTTTATCTAGCAGCAATTTTTCTTGTTTTCCAATATATCTTTTATGTCAAATTCTGTGTTCAAATCTAAACACACCATAGTCTTCTCATAGTCTCCAACTTCCAAATTCCTTAATTTGCCACATTAATAATCATAACTCCTTTTAAACCCATGTTTTATTTCTCTAATTTTTTTTTTGTTTCTGTGGAGTTTTGCTCTGGTCACCCAAGCTGGAGTGCAGTGGCGCCATCTTGGCTCACCGCAACTTCTGCCTCCTGGGTTCAAGTGATTCTCCTGCCTCAGCCTCCTGAGTAGGTGGGATTACAGGCATGCGCCATCACGCCTGGCTAATTTTGTATTTTTAGTAGAGACTGGGTTTCTCCATGTTGGTCAGGCTGTTCTCAAACTCCTGACCTCAAACGATCCGCCCGCCTCGGCCTCCCAAAGTGCTGGGATTACAGGTGTGACCACCGAGCCCAGCCTATTTCTCTAAATTTTAGAAATGTCCTTTCTTGCCCTAATTTTCAAAAAGCCATCAGTACCCTCATGAGAAGTTCCTCTGCCACACTCATATTGTCAGGTGCCTTCTCAGGCACTTCTCTCTTTTAGGAGAATTCCTGATTTTATTGCCCTTCCCCCTGTAGCTATGAGTTCCAGGGAATGCTAACTACACCCTGACCCCAGGGGAAATGGTGGCAATCTTCATTTGGCTTAAGCCAATCTCAACATTACGTGACAGGAGAAAATATGTGACTTAGACCTTTCTTAGAAATGTGGATCTTCAGGCCTTGTGCAGTGGCTCAAAATATAAGACTTTAAAAAAAATGTCTATAATCCTAGCACTTTGGGATTGTATCCTCCTACAGAGGTGGGAGGATAGTTTGTGCTCAGGAGTTTGAGACCAGCCTGGAAAACGGGATGACCCCTCCTTTCTAAAAATAAACATTTAAAAATTAGCGCGGCATGGTGGTGGTGACACGGTCTGTAGTCCCAGCTACTCTAAGGTCTTAGGCAGGAGGCTCACTTGAGCCTGGGAGGTTGAGGGTGCAGGGATCTGTGATCTCGCCACTGCATTGCAGCTCAAAAACAAAAACAGGCCAGGTGCAGTGGTTCACACCTCTAACCCCCAGCAAGGCCAAGGTGGGCGGATCACTTGATGTCAAGAGTTTGAGACCAACCTGGTCAACATAGTGAAACCCCATCTCTACTAAAAATATAAAAATTAGCCAGGAATGGTGGCACGTGCCTGTAATCCCAACTACTGGGAGGCAGAGGTTGCAGTGAGCTGAGATTGCACCACTGCACTCCAGCCTGAGTGACAGAGTGAAACTTGGTCTTGAAAAAAAAAAGGCCAGGCATGGTAACTCACTCCTGTAATCCCAGCACTTTGGGAGGCCGAGGCGGGTGGATCACCTGAAGTCAGGAGTTCAAGATCAACCTGACCAACATGGAGAAACCTTGTCTCTACTAAAAGTACAAAAAATTAGCTGAGGTGGTGCATGACTGTAATCCCAGCTACTCCAGAGGCTGAGGCAGGAGAATCGCTTCAACCTGGGTGGTGGAGGTTGCAGTGAGCTGAGATCGTGCCATTCATTGCACTCCAGCCTGGGCGACAAGAGTGAAACTCCGTCTCAAAAATAAATAAGTAAATAAATAACAAACAAAGAAACAAAACCTGTCATGGGGCAACAAGAACGAAACTGCGTTTCAAAAATAAATAAATAAATAAATAAATAAGCAAACAAAACCTGCCGTGGAGCCCATGAAAGGCTGGAATTGGCCGGGCGTGGTGGCTCAAGCCTGTAATCCAAGCACTTTGGAGGCCAAGGTGGGCGGATCACCTGAGGTCAGGAGTTCAAGACCAGCCTGACCAACATGGTGAAACCCCATCTTTAAAATAAATAAATAAATAAATAAATAAATAAGAAAGGCTGGAATTTGGCTTGATCTTATTCAATTCTGGTTTCGCCACAACTTGATCATCCAGCAACTTTCATTCCAACAACTGTGGGTGGTGTGAGGCAGGGAGGCTTTCTACGGGGTGGGCTGGGCGCCACGCCCTGCGCGCCCCAGGGGCCCTAGGAGAGGACCCAGGAGAGAAGCCTGGCTCCTTTTGCCTGAGACGAGTCCGGGGCGCCATGTTAACCGGTCTGAAGTCCCACCCGCTTTCTGGGACTCCTCAGCCACCGGCCGCTCCAGGCACCTGAGGACGCCGGACGACCTCTGGACACGGCGCGCTTGCAGCGATCTTGGACTGGTCTCTGACCTCGACCTTAGGATCCCCCGCTCCGATTCCAAGATGTCAGCGACGCTGCTCCTGGAGCCCGCGGGCCGCTGCTGCTGGGACGAGCCGGTGCACATCGCCGTGCGCGGCCTAGCTCCGGGGCAGCAGGTCACGCTGCGCGCGTCGCTGCGCGACGAGAAGGGCGCGCTCTTCTGGGCCCACGCGCGCTACTGCGCGGACGCCCATGGCGAGCTGGACTTGGAGCGCGCGCCGGCGCTGGGCTGCAGCTTCGCCGGGCTCGAGCCCATGGGGCTGCTCTGGGCCCTGGAACCCGAGAAGCCTTTTTGGCGCTTTCTGAAGCGGGACGTACAGATTCCGTTTGTCCTGAAGCTGGAGGTGCTGGACGGCCACGACCCCGACCCTGGACGGCTGCTCTGCCAGGCGCGACACGAGCGCGACTTCCTCCCTCGGGGGGTTCGGCGCGAGCAGGTGCGTGCGGGCCGGGTGCGCGCCACGCTCTTCCTGCCGCCAGGTGAGCCGGGCTGCTGGCGAAAGGTGTGAGCGTCAGTGGCCTGGGTCTCCGTTAGTTTCCAGTGCGGATCTTGCACTGGCTTGGCTCTGGAGCAAGGTCAGAGAAGCTAGCATTGACTATATCAGTGGCCACTGTACCAGAATAGAGGATTTGGTACCGGGCGCCGTGGCTCACACCTGTAACCCCAGCACCCTGTGAGGCCGAGATGGGCGGAGTTCAAGACCAGCCTAGCCAACATGGTGAAACCCTAACTCTACTGAAAACACAAAAATTAGCCGGGCTTGGTGCCACACGTCTGTATTCCCAGCTACTGGGAGGCTGAGGCACGAGAATCACTTGAACCTGGGAGAGGGAGGTTGCAGTGAACCGAGATCGCACCACTGCACTCCAGCCTGGGCAACAGAGCAAGACTCTGTCTCAAAAGAAAAACGAAAAAAAAAAAGGATTTTGATGTTAGGCTGTGTACAATGGTTTCTACTTGCATTCTATTGCATTCTATCAGTTAGTCTCTATAATATACCAATAAAGTGGGTATTGTTATTCTGCAAATGAAAAAACAGGCTCAGGTGGGCAGGTACATTATCCACTTTGCTATTAATCACTACCCTACAGATCCTACAGATCCACACAGGCATCAGCCTGACTTGTCTAAGGCAGAATAATGACAGTCAATGAGGCTATTACCATGTCACCTTCTCTAGTGTTCTAGGCACACTAAGTCTCTTCTCCACTCCTTTATGTCCTGCTTTACCCCGGGTCACACTTCAGACTAAAGCTATCTCTGGGTATTTCTTTTTCTTTCCTCTCTCTCTTTTTTTTCTTTTTTTAGGTTTTCAAAGACGCATCTTTCCTGTCTTTCTATATAGACATCTGAAATATCAGCAAACCAAAAACCAGAGGGTTGATGCAACAGAACATAAAGTTTTGTTTCAATGTTTTTCTTTTTTCTTTCTTTCTTTCTTTTTTTTTTTTTTAGACAGGGTCTGTCTCTGTTGACCAGGCTGGAGTGCAGTGGTGTGGTCACAGCTCATTGCAGCCTCAACCGCTGGGGCTCAAGTGATCCTCCCTCCTTTGCCTCTCAAGTAGGTAGGACTACAGGCATGCACCACCACATCAGACTAATTAAAAAAAAAGAAAAGTTGGCCGAGTGCGTGGCTTATGCCTGTATTCCCAGCACTTTGGAAGGCCCAGCTGGGCAGATCACCTGAGGTTGGGAGTTCAAGACCAGCCTGACCAACATGGAGAAACCCTGTCTCTACTAAAAATACAAAATTAGTCAGGCGTGGTGGTGCATGCCTGTAATCCCAGCTACTCAGGAGGCTGAGGCAGGAGAATTGCTTGAACCTAGGAGGCGGAGGTTGTGGTGAGCCAAGATAGTGCCATTGCACTCCAGCCTGGGCAACAAGAGTGAAACTCTGTCTCAAAAAAAAAAAAAAAGTTTGTAGAGATGGGGGGGTCTCACTACATTGTCCAGGCTGGTCTTGAACTCCTGGCCTCAAGTGATCCTCCTGCCTTGGCCTCCTAAAGTACTGAGATTGCAAGCATGAATCACTGTGTCCAGCCAGGGAAGCAAATTCTTTAAATTGTATAATGGCTTCCATTTATAATATTTTGTTTTCTAGGACCTGGGCCCTTCCCAGGGATCATTGACATCTTTGGTATTGGAGGCGGCCTGCTGGAATACCGAGCCAGCCTCCTTGCTGGCCATGGCTTTGCCACGTTGGCTCTAGCTTATTATAACTTTGAAGATCTCCCCAGGAACTTGGACATCATACCTCTGGAGTACTTTGAAGAAGCCCTGTGCTACATGCTTCAACATCCCCAGGTTCTCCGTGTGTCCTTTGTTTAATTAGACTCTCTAGAAATATCTCCATAGAGAACGTAACCGTACCACGTACAGTAATGCCACTCTGTTCCTCTTTCACAAAGATTTCTTTTGGAGACTTCCTTGGCTTAAGGTCCCTATTTCTACTTTTTCTGTCAGATAGATTTGTGGTATAGAATGAATTGTAAAATCCATGTGAGATTTTATTTAGTAATATTAAATATCTGTGCATTGCAAATTGAACTTCCAACCTATTGTCTTTGCATGCTTGTTTTTTAACTTTAATTTTCTGATGTCAGAGTATGTTCTCAGATTTTGGTCAGAACTTGTTCACCCCTTTTAGAAGCTAAGAACAAATTTACTTATTCTAAAGTCTTGCTTTGTAGTCATTTCCCAATACATATCATCCAACACCTTTCATCCAACAACTGAGGGTGGTGTGAGGCAGAGAGGCTTTCTATGGGGTGGGTTGGGCGCCACACCCTGCATGCCCTGGAGCCCTAGAAGACCCAGGAGAGAAGCCTGGCTCCTTTTGCCTCAGACGAGTCCAGGGCGCCAGGTTAACCGGTCTGAAGTCCCACCCGCTCTCTGGGACTACTCAGCCACCGACTGAGGATCTGATGAATGATTCACATCTTGGAACAGAACTTCGTTCCACACTATTGGATGCATTGCCACATTAAGACTTCAGTCAGGCCTACCTGAATGTGGCCCTGAACTTGATGGGCTCCGTGGCTCAGTATTCTCTAGTGGATAATTCTCTGACATGTTTATAATCAGTTTCCAAATTTTTCAGTGATTTTAAGATTTGACTGTCATGTGGCCGGGCATGGCAGCTCACGCCTGTAATCCCAGCACTTTGGGAGGCCAAGGCAGGTGATCACGAGGTCAGGAATACAAGACTAGCCTGGCCAATATGGTGAAAACCCATCTCTATTAAAAATACACAAAAATTAGCCAGGCGTGGTGGCACACACCTGTAGTCAGCTACTTGGGAGACTGAGGCAGAAGAATCACCTGAACCCAGGGGGCGGAGGTTGCAGTGAGCCGAGATCGCACCACTGCACTCCAGCCTGGGTGACAGAGTGAGACTCCGTCAAAAAAAAAAAAAAAAAAAAGATTTGTCTGTCAGGTGTTCAACCAGATACTCTGTACCTGGGAAGAAACTTCCCTGTCAGCTGAGGTTGATTTTCTTGCGGATGATTCCCAGATTAAAGCTAGCAGCATCTCTGTTTGCATTTTAGAAAAATGTTTTTGAATTGGATAATTTTTGGTTTTTGTTTGTTTTTGTTTTGAGATGGAGTCTCGCTTTGTTGCCCAGGCTGGAACGCAGTGGTGCAGTCTTGGCTCACTACAACCTCTGCCTCCCTGGCTCAAGCAATTCTCCTGTCTCAGCCTCCTGTAATCCTGGGTACCTGGGATTACAAGTGCCTGCCATCATGCCTGGCTACGTTTTTTTGTATTTTTTTTCTCTTTAAATTTATTTATTTATTTATTATTCTTGCCAACAGCATGCTTTTTTTTTTTTTTTTGGTTTT